AAATTTTCTTCACGCTGACACACGTCTCTGTGTCAGATCTCCAACAATTTTGTCTTAGCTGTTTTCAGAACACCCATCAGCTAATCTTGACCTTGGCAAGAGAAATTCGTTCCAATTTATCTGTATTTAACTAACCTTACCTCAAATACTTCCACCACCTTCTCCTTTCCCACCACTTGCAGGTGTGACCAGACAAACTTAAGCACATTCCAATAGACTCCACTGAATTAAACGACCACATCCTCCTCCATGTACACTGCACTATTCTACTGAATTTTCAGAATTACTCAGAAAGCTGCATAATCAGAGAAAATATTAGAAATAAAAACGTAACTGACAGACTAGACTGTTTAAAGAATGCGCACCGTCAACTCTTTAGGAATACAGCAGCATAAGCCAGATCATGTTATTAGGAAGCTTTATCCATACATGAGACACAAAACACCTAGGACAGAATTACCAGGACTTACTTCACAAGCTCCCGTCCCTCCGGCCCAACAAAATATTCAACTAGCCACTGACAAGCATCGATGCTTTTGGAAAGCAGTGCATCTATGGTGGCAATCCATTCTTCTGTATCAGCCCTTTAACAAAACAGGGACAGCTGTCACTAGTGAAAGAGAAAACACACCTCCAAAACCTAAGCCCCATTTTTTGCTTGCCAAACAAAGAATCTTTACTTTAACTGAATATACATTCAATGGCTTAAGGCAAATACACTTAGAGAAGTATTTTGGAACAATTTGCTGTCTTTAAATCTATTAAAGTCTTTCCATGCCCAATCCACTACCACTGAAATAAGACAGCAAACTGTCAGGTCATGTGGGACTTCCTTCCTCTCTCAGACCTCTTTGTGATGGGATTGCAATGCAAAGCAAAAACATGTCGCTGCTCCTGTGACCGTCTATACCACCTGCAGTATTTCCAAGTGCTGTAAGTACAAGCACGAAAACCCCAGAATGTGGTGTTACAGTACCCAGAACAAGGCCTTACCTGAGTTTCTTCTTGGTTCGGAGATAGGTTTGGAAGAGGAATTGGACTGCCAGCTGTAAGCTCACCTTTGCCATGCACGGATAATAAGGATGCTTTACCTTGGTCTGAAAGAAATGTTGAATTTACTTCAGAGCAGAAGTGTGCCGGCAGCACATATGCTGTCTCAAACACATCAACATGTTCTACTCAAGTAATTTACCTCATTTGGAAAAAGAAAGCAAAACATTTTGCTGTGCTAAAAAGTCTCCAGTGCTGACTAGTTAACAAATACGCTACAACAGGAAGTAACTTGCTGTAAGACCCATTATATCTGTGAATTGAATAAATTTAGTCAATGCTGGACTCTTTATTACTCCATTTAGAAAAAAAATAATAAACTGTATTTCTAACAAAAGTCAATCAACTTTGAGGTGACAAATACCAACTTTGGATTTTCTATACAGAGAGGAATTTCTGTCCCTCTAGAGCTCAGTCTGCACCATTTAAATTGCTGTTTTACTATGGCACAACGATGCTTCTCTAGAAAATGATGGCCTCTACTGGAAGGGGAGGCTGGAGTCCGCTTTGAGAGATGTTGGTATCAGCATGAAAAAACAGTGGAGATAATTACTTGCTCAACTGGAAAAGCAAAATCATGTCAAGCCTTCTCTTCAAATGTTCCTGGTTGTGACCCAAATAACTTCTGTGTCTCTTTCTACCCAACATATTCCAAATACTCTAAGATCTAGGTACTTACAGCATTCAGTGAAGCTAAAGACAGAACAAAACTGAAGTAGTCACTACTGTATACATCTCTGTTCTTCATAAATTTCAAGTTCTCATCTCTCACCATCTGTAGAAGTAGAAGGGAACAAAATTAACAATGTTGTCAAAGTACATTTCTCTAAAACTGCATCTTTTACATAAATATGTGTGGTGTTTAAGAACCAGCGTCAGATTATTAGCTTCACATTCTGAATCATTACTTCAGCAGAGAGGAAAATATATACAGGAGACTTAGAAGATATGCATAAAACAAGTGATTTTCTTCTAAGGATATTATAAAACACAAGACAAGAGATGAGGGACTTAACGGCCAATTGAGTAAGGGAAAAGAAAAAGGTAAGTGCTAAGTTCTATTTTTTGTTCACTTTTAATAAAAAAGTCAAGAGAACATCCTTTAAACCTGAAAGGCTTGCTTAGCAAATTTACATGTAGAGGAACCATGGTATAATTACAAGCTGCAGTCAGAATAATATACTGAAATGCCAAGTCCCTCTTCTTCCAAATGAGATTTTGCTGAAAGACTCTCAATACATTTGAGCCAACTTTTATTTTTAACAATACAACCTGGGATACAAGGATGCCTGAAGCGACTCTTAATGCCGTGATACAGCCCCCGTGCAGGGCCATACACAGTCTGGACTGGTTATGCGGACCTTCCTCTTATGCCAGCTAACCGATACCCAAATGCCACCGTCCTCTCACTGCTCTGCCAGTGCCATCACACCTTCATCTTCAGTCCTGACTTGCAAAGTTGCCTTCAGCATCCATGTTTTTCCCCTTTAAGATCGCATTCAGTATTACATAAGCTAACAGACACAAACAGAACTGAAGCTGGTTTTGGTTTCTCGTATTTCTCCCCTCCTTTCTACATTCTTGTGAACTCAAGAACTTGAGGATTACTGCAATTTGCCATCATCTCCATTACTGAAGTGTACTTCAAATGAAGCACTTCTCTGCTATTATCTCTCCCTGCTCGCATGCTGACTGCTGCCGTATCTCATGTTTGACTAATTTGCCTGCAGTTTCTCCAAAGTACAGAATGATGGGCCAATGTTGTGAGAAAGGACAGCAAAAGTTAGAATAACGTACCCACTGAACAGCTTGTTAATAATTTTATGTCAGAATCCAGTATTATTTTCTAGCTTTGCTTTCAAGAAGGGAATTACTTCAAGGTCAACTTCAAAGTTATTGTGTTCCTCTTACTATGTGCTTAAACTTCATCCAAGTAGGATTTAGTTGCTACTTTCAGAATGCTCTACCTGATATATCCGCACAGGCATTTTCTCTACAAAAAGCCCCTTTTTTTCTCCTTTTCGAACCAGCTTAGTCAAGATGGAGAGACGGTCACTGTTGGGCCTGTGGGGTCGAGGTGATGACTGGGGTGAAATTTCTGGTGAAGATGGAGCAGATCTGAAATATACACAACCTCAAGGTAAGTAATAAAATCCTATGATAAATCTATGGTTCAAGTTTAAAACTACTGCAGCCTGTACTAATCTTAAGGAAAATTTGGATGACAGTCTAAATACTTCTTGAGGCGTCTGGTCAGTTTAAAATTCTTACTGCAATCGTGACAGCAGTACGGAAAGGACATTATAAAAGCAATAAAAGAATATTCATTAAGCAGCTTAAAAACTAAAACAAATCAACAGAAGTGTTATTATACTCCTTCCTTGAACAGGAATCATTTATTTCCTAGTTCTGGAGATAGGGTTTAGGTATGAACATAAGAGAAACCTTTACAGACACCAGAGGAACTTACAAGGAGAGGTCCTCAGCTTCTTGACGTACAACACTCACTCGACTTTTCTTTGGTAAGACAGGAGAGTTCTGATCAGACACTCTCTGGTAAAACAGCATGTAGGCATTCCAGTAGCGCCGGCGCACGTCAGGGTAAGGGTTAGCTGATGGAAGAAGTGGAATCCAGTAAGACCTCTGAAGGTTTAGTAGCTTTTTCATTCCCATGGGGAAGTGAAATTGGGTGTGCAAAACATCAGTCTATGTTAGCAAATAACAAAAACCTGAATTCTAAAATATTTTTGCTAAAAGCGTAGGTACTTTAAAAAGATAATCATCAAAATTACGAAGCAAGTAAATATCAATGGGCATGTATTTGGAATTAAGTCCTTAAAAGCACTACAAGTTTAACTATATGATGCCACATCTACGCAGAGTAATTTTCACTTGTGGCTCTTGTTTTCTTGTTTGTTTTTAACTATTTTAACATGGTGTCATTTTACTTTTGAATCTCCTCTGCTACTAAGTCTACAAAGTGCTGAACAACCATGAATGTGGTTCAATTAACATTAGGCTATATGCAAACAATTGTGTCCTTCAGTAAACAGAAGACTAGAAAAAACTGCTCGAGAAGAATTATTGGATAAAGTAACTAAAAGCAGATAAAACGGACTGAGCTCTACCTCTGCCGAGAACCAGTATGAAACATAAAGTTACTGTAAATCAACCTGTTATTCTGCTTACATTGATCATAGACTTTAGGTCTATACTCTCCACCAAAACATTCATACTCCAAGGTTTCATCAGTCAAATCAAACTCTTCAACGATGGTGTCATTAAATTTATACCACTTTCCTTTTCCACATCCCCTGTGATGAAAACAGAATAGAAACACAACAAAGTTACTTGCTTTTCCAGTAGAAGAACAAACCACTCTGAATACCCTAGAAATCACTACCCTGAACTCACATTTATTTTGACAGTAAACAGAAAGCTTAGTTCAATGTCCAAGTTACATTTTAAAATAAGCTTGATTAAAAACGTGAGAAGCATACCACCTTCAACCAAGTGTCATTGGCAGCTCTCAAACTGCAATCCAAGGTGCCTAAGAATTGTGAAGACTTTTTACTATATACA